AAACAACTCTCCACATGAATCAGTCCCAACAGCTACAGGGAAATCCGAGCAAGTCCCATAAGCTGCAGAAGTTCCAACAGAGCAACAATGGCGACAGGTCCCACACCAAACACTGTGCCTCCCCGAAACGGAGCAGGACCACCACCCCCCTCCCCTGCGTAGCCGCTTAGCAGCTATCAAACCGAGATTTTTCCATTTGTTATTAGCGATAAACAGCTATCACTATCATAGAAACTGAGTTTGGACATGTCAAAGGCTTAAATGGGAAAGGAAGTGGCTCGATCAGCTGGACATTGGCGCCTAGTTTGAAGCCCATGGGATTATGTAGAGTAGGGTTTTGGGGAATCAGAATCTAGGGATTTGGATTTGAAGCTGAAAGGGCATCCAAGAATGGATGTACAGGATTCAGTGGCGTGACATGAATCTAGGGTTTTGTGCGACATTGTAACTTCATGAATACACACACAGAGACTATGTAAGTTTATTTACACTTTCTCTTAGAACTCTACAGTTCGAATCAGCTTGAACACACCTCAATTAATCTATGAAAAACAGATGGGCTAACTTAGTATGTACATATAGATCATGTAGCTCAGTAAACTTGAATTAAGCAGAAGTGTGTAGGGAAATTTGAATATGGATCAGTGAAGAACAAGAAGGAGAAGACCTCAAGTAGTAATTCAAAGCTAAAACCATTTACTATCATGTATACACACAAAGAGCATAAAGTACTCTCTTTTTTCTTTGATACAAAACCCAGCAGTTGCCATTGAATACAAGAAAGGTTCGAATATCAAAAGATCAGGAATAAAACCAAAATTAATCCACTAAATACCAAAACTCCCATCATATATTAACAAATACGAAATAAATTCTTTAAATCCCAATGTCAAAAGTTAAAACGCTTCAATCAGAAAATCTAGCACGAATTCTACCAAAAAACTAAGGAATTGAGGCATGAGATTACCTTGATTGGAAGAAGAACTGGAGAGTGGCTTTGGCCCAATTTGAAAGCTCTTCACTTTAGTGATTTTTAATACACACGGATCAAAGATAAATAGTACTCATAAATGTATTCTTCCTTCGGTTTATTTTCTAGAATAAGTAAGGAGAAGAGTATTGCCAAGTTAGAGAATAACAATGGGTATAGGTATGTTTCGACCCGGTTCCTTCGCTAAGGTGAAACTGTTTCCTTTATTGGTATACCAAAATAATCCTATTTATCCTTAGTTGGGTTTTTCTTTTTTCTTCCTTCAAATTTCAATATGTGAAAGGAAACAGAATTACTGAACTATGTGAAAGGAGAAAAAATAAGAACAAAAATGAAATTTGTCAGGAATTCAGGGGCTAAAAATACTTCATTCTTCAACCAAAACGAGGCGGACTTTCACAACAGATGAAATGGGACCAGACCGTTTAGTCAGCCCAAGGTAGCCCCTCTCTGAAATGGGCCTTCCGTAGTTTATTTATTCAATAAACTGAAAAAACTGCTAGTATTTAGTTACATGAGATACATAAAGTTAGCGTTTGGCAGTAGATTTCTAAATTTATTTTGAAAAATCTGGTTTGGGTAAAGTTTGATTTGAAGATGAAAATGTGTTTGGACATAAGATTTCAAAATATATTTCACTTTTCTTTTTTGAGAAAAAACATGAAACATGACTTATACCCACAAGTTCTAAAAACTATCACAAATACTCAACAGTAGCTTTATCAATAACATTCATTATATTATCGCAAACCATAATCCTGAACATAAATAAATTTAGTACAAAATTATCATTTTTATAATGAACTACATAATACACTATCAGATGGCCGATAACACGAAATAACATTATTACAAAATAATAAATGGTGGGTTCTTTTATAAAATACAAAAGTTTGGGGCAATTTTTAAAAAATGTAATAGTGATATTTTGGACCAGCTGATTTTGGAATTTGGGTTTTGGGAATTTGCCAAAATGTAGATAAAATCTATGGCCAAATATGTATTTGCCAAAAAACCCCAAATATATTTTGGCAAAATCTATGGCCAAACAGGTCAGAGAAAGTTGAGAAATTATATTTTATCCCTTTAATATTAGGTGCCCTGTCAAGGAACTTCCTCACCAAGTTTTCAAATTTACGTTGAAAATCTATTGGGTAGCTAGCTCAAAGTCTCCTATTACGTCATTAACCTTTAGGTAGTATACTACTTCCTCCGGTCCATAATAAATGACCTTTTGATTTTTTTTATTTTGATCCAAAATAAGTATTTTTTTTCATATAATCAAGAATGAATTAACTTTAACTTTTTAAATTTGCCCTTATTTACATATCTCAATATGTCAAGTTAACAATATACAAATTTTATTTAAGGGTAATTTAGTCAAAATACTTATTTATTTTGTAGGAGTTAGTATTTTATTAAGGGGTGTGCCAAAAGCAAAAATGTCACTTATTATGAACTGAAGGGAGTAATTTATTTAGTACTTGTATCATCGCAATGAGTAATTTAATATTTACGAATCATGAGCAGTAAATGGTAATTCAGCACAATAAACAAGCAACAATAACAACCCAGTGAGATCCCACAAGTGGGTTCTGGTGAGGGTAATGTGTACGCAGACTTTACCCCTACCTTGGAGGGCAGAGAGGCAGTTTCTGAAAGACCCTCGGCTCGAGAGCAAGAATAGGAATAAGTAAATAATAATAACAAGGACGGGAAAATGATATCAACAATGTAAGGACCGGAGAAAAATAAATGGAAGAAAGTAGTAGCAATAGCAAAAGTAATAGCCACAAGCAGTAACACGACAGGGTACTAGAAAACCGAAGGGAAAGATAGTACTAAAACAACCCTAATACTAATATTCTAAGAGTCGAAGACAATGTACTAGGCAGCTAGCCCTAATAAACCTGGAACAGATCAGAAAACCACATGACCGCCTATTATCCTTCTACCTTAATCTTCGACCTCCACACCCTACTGTCAAGGGACATGTCCTCGGTAAGCTAAAGTCACGCCATGTCCTGTCTGATAACCTCTCCCCAATACTTCTTAGGCCGCCCTCTACCTCTTCTCCTACCTGTCATCGCCAGTCGTTCATACTTCCTCACTGGAGCATTTATGCCTCTCCTTCTCAACATGCCCGAACCATCTAAGCCTCGCTTCACGCATCTTATCTTCCATAGGGGTCACGCCTACTTTCTATCGAATATACTCATTCCTAATCTTGTCTAACCTAATGTTCCCACACATCCATCGAAACATCCTCATTTCGGCTGCGTTCATCTTCTGGATAAGAGAGTTCTTGACTGGCCAGAATTCTGTCTCATACAGCATAGTCGGTCTAACCGCCGCCTTGTAGAACTGACCCTTAAGTTTTGGTGGCACATTCTTGTCACGCAGAACGCCAGATGTTAGCCTCCATTTCATCCACCCCGCTCATATACGGTGTGTGACATCCTCGTCAATCTCCTTGTCCCCTTGGATAACTGACCCGAGATACTTGAAACTTCATCTCTTAGGGATGACATGAATCAAGCCTCACGTCTATACCTGCTCCCTTTGACACTACGCTGAACTTGCACTGTAGATACTCCGTCTTTGCTCTATTCAACTTGAAACCCTTAGATTCTTAAGTTTGTCACCAAACCTCTAACTTTTCATTGACACCGCCTCGCGTCTCTTCAATCAGTACTATGTCATCAACGAATAACATATACTATGGCACCCCCCCTTGAATATGGCGCATCAGTGCATCCATCGCCAAAGTAAATAAGAGGTTGAGCGCAGATCTTTGGTGTAACCCCATCCCAACCAAAAAATGTTCTGAATTCCCTCCCACTATCTTCACCCTAGCCTTAGCTCCATCATACATTTCTTTAATCACTCTAATGTACGTTACAGGAACACCACTAGCCTCCAGGCATCTCCAAAAGACCTCCCGAGGGACCTTATCGTACGCTTTCTCTAGGTCAATAAACAACATATGCAAATCTTTCTTCCTATCCCTATATTGTTCCACCAACCTCCTAATAAGATGGATGGCTTCTGTAGTCAAACGTCTCGGCATGAAATCGAATTGGTTCTCAGAAATAGACATCGTCTTTCTAACCTCGCTTCTACCGCCTTTTCCCACACTTTCATTGTGTGACTAAGCAACTTGATACCCCTATAATTGTTGCAATTTTAGATATCTCGTTTATTCTTATACAACGGGATCATCGTACTCCACCTCAACTCCTCGGGCATCTTCTTCGTCCTAAAAATAGCGTTAAATAACCTAGTTATCCATTCTAATCCAGCCCTACCCGCATACCTCCGGAATTCAACTAGGATCTCATCTGGCCTGGTCGCTCTGCCCCTGCTCATCTTATGCACTGCCCCTATGACCTCCTCGAAACTAAATTGCCTACAGTACCTAAAATCACAATGGCTCTCGGAGTGCTCCAAATTGCCCAACACAATGCTCTTATCCCCCTCTTCATTCAGAGTTCATGGAAGTAAGTCTGTTACCTTCGCTTGATCTGTGCCTCCTCCATTAAAACTCTATCATTCTCGTCTTTGATGCCCTCACTTGGTCCAGATCACGATCCTTCCTATCCTTCACCTTATCCAGACGTAACAAATTTATACCACTGCCTTTGTCCCTCAGTTCTTCATACAAATGAGCAAATGCTGCAGTTTTAGCCTCCGTGACCGCCAACTTAGCCTTCTTATACTCTTCTCTGATGTTCCTCTTCTCATCCTCGTCTGTGCTCTCTACTAACTCATATGCTACTTTCTTGGCTTCTATTTTCCTTTTGACCTCCTCATTCCACCACCAGTCTCCTATGTGGCCTCCAGCGTAGCCTTTAGAGACCCCTAATACCTCTCTCGCAGCCTCCCTAATATAGTTCGCCGTCCTCGTCCACATACTACTCGCGTCCCCACTACTTCTCCAAACCCCTACAACCAACAACTTCTCTTGCAACTCCTAAGCGTTGTCCTTAGTCAGACACCTTATCTTCGGTCAACCACGCCCAACTGTCTTCTTCTTCTTCTTCTTCAGCATGATGTCTAAGTCCATCACCAAAAGCCTATGCTGGATCGTGAGGTTCTCACTCGGAATAACCTTACAATCAGTACACAGATCTTTATCACACCTCCGGAGAAAAAGATAGTCGATTTGCGTCTTGGCCATTGTGCTCTTGAAGGTAACCAAGTGCTCCCCCTTCTTGTGAAAACTCGAGTTTGCTATTACCAAATCAAACCCCTTAGCGAAATCCAACAACGACGTACCTCCTCTATTTCTGACCTCAAAGCCAAAGCCGTCATGCACCTCATAATAGCCCCCAGAAGACCTCCCAATATGACCATTAAAATTCCCTCTTATGAATATCCTTTCAGTGGGCGGAATACCATGCACAACCTCATCCAGACCCACTTGGGGTGCGTAAGTGCTAATAACATTCAAAGTACACCCTCCAACCATTAATTTAATAGCCATCAGCCTATCATTCACTTGTCTAACCTCTACTACTAGCTCCCTGAGATCCTTGTCCACGAAGATGCCCACTCCGCTCCTACCCCTCTTACCTCCTGAGTGCCACAGTTTAACCCCGTCCGCTTCCGGCACCTTAGACCCTACCCACCTAGTCTCTTGGACACAAGCACAATAAGAAATCAAGCATTAATAATAAAAAGTAAGCAACCATAAAAATGTGGAAAAAATTACTTGACATTTCCCTTTTTACCGTAAAACATAATTAGAAATGAAAAAAGATTGACTTGACCAAGTGTATTTGTTTGAACCCGTAATAATATCACGACTCAAAATTCCACCTCGAGGATCATGATGGCACCTAGTCCCTAGGACTAGGTAAGCATAACACATAATGAGATCAACAAATCAAAACACCAATTGAAATATTAATGAAAGTTGAAGAGTATCATGGCATATTCAAAAGTGGAATACAACAGTCCCGTAAATCCCCAAAATCCAGTAATATCGAGTCATAAGCTCTACAGAGAGTAAACAAAAACCTCAAAATACAATATCGTTTGGAAATACGACAAACAGTAACAAATACTAGAAGGTGACTCTAAGGCCTGCGAGCGGAATAACAGGCATACCTTGAAGTCTCCACAGTAACTTGAAGAGATTATCTTACTAACGACCAGCTCGCTCTGAAGTACCTAGATCTGCATAAAAATGTGCAGAAGGGTAGTATGAGTATGCCACAATCGGTAACGCAGTAAATATCAAGACTAATCTCGGCAGAATAGTGACGAGCTTCAAGTCAAGACATTCACTAGACAATAACCTGTATAGAATATCAATATAAAACGAACAACAGAAGCATAGCTAATTAATAGCAACAAGGAATAGGCATGTGATAACACGGAAAAATTAACCAAAACCTATAAAATACAAAGTGAAACCATTTAAGGAAAACCATGACATGTTCAACTCATCAAACCATTCCAACATGGGAATAACATCAAGAATCACTTCGAAATACCACATAACATAAGTCGATCTTGAATCAGCTTCACCTTCTCCAAAGTATCTCGAATCAAATCAGTGCCCAACAACCAATAAAAGAAAATATTATGAATAGAAAACATGGTGCTCTCATTGTTTGATGCTAATGATGGTAATTATTGCTAGCAATTAATCTTTGTATTATTTTCTTTACCTTAAAGAATTTTAGGCTTTTGCTTTTCTGATAAAGTATCTTAAAGAGCTTTAATAAAATAATTATCTACTTGTAGGATGGATCTTATTCGAGAGGATGAGCTAATATATCCGGTCCTAATTGGAAAAGTATGTACCTCTCTGAGACTTTTTGAGCTTGAGCAAGAAATATTTATAATTACTGTAAATAGTATATCTATTTTTAGCTGGACAAATTTTACCATCGGAAGAGTTTTTGTATTTTTCAAAATGCAATGCTATGTGTCAATAACTGAGGCGAAATCTATAAGTTCTGGTTTACCTAAACAATCCTTAATAAAATATCCCGCAGTTTACTAATAAAAGATACACTAAATATAGTTTACAAGCAAACGAATGGGTAAAATCTGATTAAAATAATTGCAGCCATGCACGTCGATTATTTTAAGGAAAAAATAAAGACGAGATGCATTTAATAGTCTAATACTAAGCCTATGGCTCATAAGCACATGTTTTACTGCATACAATAAAAGTTTTACTGTCTAAAGAAGGAGAAAATAATAGTATATTTAATTAAATATTAGATGATATATAAAATTATACTAAAGATAAAAAACTAATAGTGCCTTTCGGAAAGCAAAGATCGGGCATTCTTAGGAATTCTTTTTTAGTTCAAACCCTAACAAAAATCAATCTTAAGCTTTAAAATTCATGCGAAAAACATGTCAAAAATCTAAGTTACTATTGACAATTACTAGAACAACTTTCACAGTAGAGTCGCTTCCATCAATGATCAAACAAATACAAGTTTTAAGTAATCTTTATATGTTGTGATGACATTTTTAACGTAAAATAGATAGTTAAATTATTTATAAAAGTTCATTATCTTTAAACATAAGTTTTACAGTAATTGCTAGGGCTACACGTGTGTGGCACGCGAAATAGAGACTAGTACCAATATATATCCCTCATCTTGATTATAATTTTAAATGCTACGGATACATAGTTGATTTACATTATTTATGTAGTTTTAGATTAAATTGAAATTTTAGATTAATGGGTACAACCAAGATATAGGCATTGGACTTGTAAATTGATTCATAATTTTTTGGGCCACAACCAATCTCTATTTGAAATTTCTTCTATAATGATCCAACTGGTCTTTTTGAGCTCTAGCATGTCGTTCGATGGTTTGAGACCTTAAGTAGCTTCACTTCATGTATTATGACTTGCACATGTAGTCGGATTTGATTTTTGAGAAGTTCGGAGTTGATTTGGAAGATTAATTCTCAATTCGAAAGCTTTAAGTTGGAAGAGTTGACCAAAGTTTAGCTTTTGAGTAAACAACTTTGGAATCGAGATTTAAAGGTTCCTATAGGTTTATAAGGTGACTTTGGACTTGGGCGTATGTTCGGATTGAGTATCGGATGGTCCGGGAGCGAATCAACATTTATTATTGGAAGTTTACATTTTAAAGGTTTAAAATTTGCTAAGTTTGACTTAGAGTGTACTTTAGTGTTATCGGACTCGGATGGTATTTTGGGATCTTCGATAGGTTCACGTTATTGATTGGAACTTGTGTGTGAAGTTGGTCATGATCCAGAATGTTTAAGAGTGATTCAAACACTTAAGTTGTATGCTAGTTAGGTTTAAGAAAATGAGTTGACCATGGTCAAATAATGGACTTAATAAGTTTGGATTCATGATTTAAAAGTTTCAACATATTTTATGATGATTTCAGACTTCTCAGCAAGTTTTGGTTAAATTTCAGTGACCTTTGGATGAGTTTGGATTGGGTCGCGCTCTTGTTTGATGTTTCGGCGTCGTTTTTTTTGCGTAAAGGGTACTATATTGAGAAAAAAATCTTTGATTTATGATTGGATTGAACCAGTAGATCCGTATCATAATTACAGAGCCATATTAGCAAGAATCATTGAATTCCGAGATTGTAAAAAAGAGTTATGCCCTTTTTCATGTTGGAAAAGATTGCTGGTTTCTAATGTGAGCTTTTATTTTTCGCGAACGCGAAGAAGGAATTTTGGGTTGACTGATCAACGCGAAGGTGTCCCGCGAAGGAGATGAACAAAAATCAACTCGGCAGTGTTTTATATCGCGTATTTTAGTATTTTGAGCATATCTTGAGTTTTAGAGCTTCATTTGAGGTAATTTTCACGGTGTTTTTCTCATTTAAACAAGAGGGTAAATATATAATCTTCATGTTGATGTTTTCCCATGATTATTCGTTGATTGTCATTTTTATCCGTATTTAGATTGTAGAAATTGGGGTTTTGAGCCCCAAAGTCGTGAAATGGTAAATCCTTGATTTGAGGGTCAATTCATGGACGAAATTGGATGATTTTCTGGATATGTACTATATAAGTTATATGTAATATTTATTTTTCATAATTTTTGGAATCCGGTCACATTTTCTAATTATTAAATTATGAGTATTGAGGTATATTTTGATCGGTTTGGATGTTGTTTGATTAGTTTCGAATCGTTTGGCATCGGTTTGAGGTGTTAGAGAGGCGTTGGAGCCAATTATCGGATTTCGGAACGAGGTAAGTCTCCTGTATAATTTTGTGAGGGGGAATTTACCCCGTAGGTGTTATATTTATTATGTGCTACATCTTGTGGAGGCTACGCACATATGAGATAATGAGTGTCCATTCGTATGCTAGAATTCCTGATAAGGACTAAGTAGACTTATACTCATGTCATGCTTTAATTGTAATACTTGAGTTATTCTTACATGTTTAAACTTTCACACTTTTTCCTGAAACTAGACTTGCATAAAATATCGAATTACTATTTGAGATATTTGGCGAGCTACCTGATTAGAAGTATAATTTGTACTTTTTTTTAGATTTCTCCCGCGTTATACGAAATTGTCTGAAAGGCTTCTTGAATTTCATAACTCATACATATATTCATGAGTGGGGCCAGTGACCCGTCAAGTTTCACTATTCTTATGGGATCAGGCTGAACGCCTTAACAGTACTATTATGGATTGGGTCGTACAACCCCGATAGTATTATGAGATACATCTATGGTTCGCACCGATCGACCCTCGACAGTGTACACGATTATGGAATCAGGATGAACGCCTCAGCTGGTATCGGGTCGTACACCATAACAAAAAATATGCCATTACTCTTACGGGAACGGGCCACTCGCCTCAGCAGAATCGTGCATAATATTTGATAAGGAGTCAGTTTACCTATGAGTTTTCCTGACTTGAGAAGTGATATTTTTATCTGGTGTTGACCATTATGTATTCTATTCGAGGTTGTAACCGGTCATCGAGGATTTCGTATTTATTCTTCTGTTGAGGAGCTTCTTATGCACATATATTTGTTTCCTTATTTTTACCTGTTATACCTCATTCCTGTCTACTTTTATTATACCTGATTTATTGGACCACTAGTAAGTATCGATGCCGACCCCTCATCACTACTTCTTTGAGGTTAGGCTAGATACTTATTGGGTAAACATTGATTTACGTACTCATACTATACTTCTGCACTAATTGAGCAGGTACTGAGACAGGTTCATTTGGTGGTCATCTTGGCGCATAGGTGCAGCTACTGAGGGAACTTTATAGCGAGCTGCATTCCATTCTACGATCCGCAGCACATAGAATCTCCATCATATTCGTTATTTTATCCTATCTATTTTTTTTATTCTAGAAAGAGGTTGTATTAGTACTGTACTCCCTAGTAGATGCTCATGCTCTTGTGACACCGGGTTTTGTGAAATTTTTAGTGAATGCTCAAAGTTGTACCTAATATTATTATTATCACTTCACTTTATGATTTATTCATACTCGATAATTTAGTAAAGAATAACATATGTTTATATGAGATATGAATTTAATTCTATTTATTTAATGAAATTTCGGTTTAAAAAGTTAAAATGGATAATTATGTTTGGAGGTTCAAGCGTTGGCTTGCCTAACAATATCATTGGGCGCCATCACAACCTATTATGGGATTTGGATCATGACACATTCACTTGTAAAAGTACATCTTGAATTTATCGATTATGTTATGGCTGGAGTCTTACTCATGGATGAAACTTTATGCCTTGTAAAATGATTAGTTTGGAAGTTTTCTTTATTAAAACATCTCTAAATAATTTACTTAACTAATTAAAGTTTAACTTATATTTAGGTTTAAATTAGATGTATTATTAAGTATTTGTAAGTTGCTTTATTTTTATATGTTAATGCAAAAAATATCATTGTTTTGTCTAGCTAGCTTTCTTTTAAAAGGAGTTTGAACTACAACTAAGAATGTCTTGGGATAGATAAAATTCTTTTATCCTTGTGCTTTAAAAATGAAAAAAAAATTCCTTATAAGGCTCACTTCTTACTTAAATAGGTCCTACTACTATTAGAAATTCGGTCAAAATCGACTGCATCGATCGGTTAAAAAATTGACCGAATAACCGATTAAAGTCGGTCGATTTTTCAAATTTTTTTACGAAACGGAGCAACTTTGATCGTTTTTTTGTGCAAAAATGCGAAAAACTATTTTTGCACCCCTCAAAATTTATTTTTCATGAACCCGACTAACTTTGGTGGGTTTTTCATTTAAAATAAATTTAAATTAATATTCAAAAAATCGATCGAAACCGATCGGTTATTTCGGTCGGTCATTTTAAAAAATAAATCGATTTCGGTTGGTAATTTTACTTTTTTAATAAAACTAAACGAAATCGGGCGGTTATTTTGGCGCGAAATGCAATTAAAGAGTATAAATAAAATAATAAAAAATTCTTATATCAAAATGCACCAATGGTCTAGTGGTAGAATACTATCCTGCCATAGTACAGACCCCCGTTTGATT